CAACTTGGGGAATACGTGTTTTATGAATTCGGTTTTGCAAGCATTGCTGCATACTCCGCCATTGAGGAACTTTTTCTTGAGTGATCGACATAATCGGTATTTTTGTCAGAGAAATGTCAATGTCGGCAATAAAAATTCCAACTCTAATGATGGAAATGGCAGTAAAAATTCGCGCATCTGTCTAGCTTGTGATCTGGATGCGATGTTTTCTGCTGTCTTCTCGGGTGATCGGACGCCTTACAGCCCGGCAAAATTTTTATTCAGGTTTTTAATCGATGGATATTAAGATTCCGATTTCCTTTTTTCGTAGAATGTTTGATTCTGCAATTTCGATCGCTACTTGTATCCTTGCTCTCTGCTTTCTACTGATTTGTTTTTGTCATTTCCCTTCTAAAGATGATTCTTTCATTTTTTTTCCCGACCCACTAAATCTATGTCTTATTACAGTTGGTGGCAACATGCTGCAAACCTTGCAAGTTATGAACAACAAGATGCTCATGAATTTTTCATCTCTATTCTTGAAGGCATCCACGAAAAGGTGGACAAAGATCGGCGCAAACCTTACAGTCAAGGTAAATTCTTGCTTGCTTTCCAATGCTCTGTTTGCTTTCAGATCTTTTTCAAACAATGTGCATGTGATGTTTACCTTTTCTTTCTCTCCTTTCTCCCCTTTTGTTATTGTTTCCCGTTTTCCATGTTTGCACTGGTTGCTTGTTGGAAGTCAAAGAGCAGAGTCATATTTAGATTTAGTTCTTGGCATCACCAATTTATTTGTGGAATTTTCTAAACATGACTGGTCATATCATGGTCCAGTACTGGTATTATGCGCTTGGATTTTATGTTTAGGCATTTCTCGGACACAGTGTTATTGCACGAAATGCTACACATGAAGTTTAGGTGTAATGTATGTCTTTTTTAACGCTTTCTAGAAGTGTGCTTCTTTGTTACTGAGTTGTGAGTTCCATATTCTTGTCCTTTTACTATTAATGAAATTCAACTGATTTTGGTGCTTCAACACTTGTTTTTGACATCTGACCAAAGACTAATAATCTCCAGGCACTTTGACCATTTGGCTTATCCAGTTCTGCCATTTGACCATCTTCACTTAATTGCTCTAATTTAGAATTTAGGCTTCCCAGACATTCACATAGATGAACTGAAGCTGAAAATTTTTGTAGTTGTATAAGTTCTTCATGTAAAGGCTGGTCAATCACTCTGCATTGTTAAATAGCTTGGTACATCTCCAATTCACCACTAACATAAGTTGTCACATTTGGGTGGGGGAAAATCCTCAGCTTCTAAAGTGGGTATTTTAATTTTTCACTTGAAAAGCCCCAACAGTCGGTGGATAACCCCAAGGCATATAATGTGAATGAAATTTGCTGCATTGCATTTACAAAAGACAATCCGCTTAGACTGATTTTTAAAAAGCGCCTTATTTTCTGTGTATTAGTTTGTGTTTTTTCCCAAGCCAAGATAAATTCATAGTGACGTGTATAAAGTTGGAACTGCAGGATTTGAGTCTAGGAATCTTGCTATTGCTCTAGGAGTTGACAAGTGCTCAAAGATTTAGGGCTAATTTCCAAACTCAACCTGCTGGCTTGATGGTATTTTCTACTTCTCACTTGTAAGTCAACTATTTCTCAACCAACTTGGTTATGAGTTACAAGTAGGATCATCCACCTCTCATATTTTTCATGTTAAAAAACTCCCTTTCTTTAGTCCAAGGTGCATTATTAACCACATTGAAAATTGTGAACCTACTCATGAGGAAATGTTTTTGTTAAGAAGTGGTCATTCCATAATCAGTTGGTGAAAGATCCTGCTAACCTTTTAGTCATAGGGTAATTAATGAACTTGTCACCTTCTACCATCTCTCAACTTTCTTGATAATGCTTAATCACTGGATCCTGGAAAATTTCCTTAACAGATCTCCACTATTGACATTAAGGTTGGATGTTAAGGTTACTTGGAACAAACTTATTTGCCATTTTCTTCTGGATTTAGTTTTAGCATACATTTAATTGTTAAGTTTTCATTTTGGTGGATTAGAATAATTGTGATTTTAGAATGTCATTTTTCTTTAGTATTGAATAACTTATCCCTGTCTCTTTTCCAGTGCAGGTAATGGAGACTGTTGTATTGCTCATAGAGTATTTTCCGGCATATTGCGGTCTGATGTCATGTGTATGGCTTGTGGTTTCACATCGACAACCTATGATCCATGTGTAGACATCTCTTTGGATTTGGAACCAAATCTAGGGGGTTCTGCAAAGATGGCAGCCACAAGGTCCAATCTTTCTTGCAATGGTGAGGCAGATTGTGTGAACTCAAGCCAAAACCACAGGATATCTTCCCTGGTGGGTTGCTTGGACCAATTCACTAGGCCCGAAAAACTTGGGTCCGACCAGAAATTCTTCTGCCAACAGTGTCAGGTGCGGCAGGAATCTCTCAAACAGATGTCCATAAGAAAGCTTCCGTTAGTTTCTTGTTTCCACATTAAAAGATTTGAGCATTCTTCGGTTCGGAAAATGTCGAGGAAGGTGGACCGATATTTGCAGTTTCCATTTTCTTTAGACATGGCACCCTATCTCTCATCTTCTATTTTGAGAAGTCGATTTGGGAATAGGATTTTCCCTTTTGATGGAGATGAACAAGATGCTTGCAATGAGTCATCGTCGGAGTTTGAGTTGTTTGCTGTCATCACTCACAAAGGTAAATTGGACGCCGGTCATTACGTGACCTACTTGCGGCTGAGTAATCAATGGTACAAGTGTGATGACGCTTGGATTACCCAAGTCAATGAAAATATTGTTAGGGCTGCACAAGGATACATGATGTTTTATGTGCAGAAGATGCTCTATTACAAAGCAAGTGAGAAACAGAGTGCTTCATAACGTTTCGTTAGATGGGAAACTTGATTACAGGACAAAATCGGTTGATGCTCAATCAATTTCATCGATATTTTGTTTGCCATGGAAGCCAGTAATTGCTGTTGTTTGTCAGTAACAAGCTGAACTATGAGTGCCTGCACATTGTAGTCAAAGATATAGGCGAGCCAACACTTTTCGGGGATGGTAATTGTGAGATTTACTCATGAAGGCAGACTCAGGTTCCTTTTGAAGGGAACTTCTCTGATACTTTTTTAACTCCTTTTCATCGCTTCCTACCTATTCAAGCAATGTTGGTGGCTTGGGATGGAGTTTTAGTACTTGGAGTTGTGGCTCAGCAGATTAACTGATCTCTCTCTACATATTATGAAGAGGTATGAAAAATCTAATTCTAGAGCTGTCTCTCTCTCTCTCTCTCTCTCTCTCTCTCTCTCTAGATATCCATATGTTCCGGGTGGGTTCTTCATCTCCCCCGGATTTCTGATTTTTGAAATCTATCCATCGATTTTTTTTGGTGGAACCACCTATTAATTCAAACATGAAACTGCAACACATGGGGCTGCTGCTCCTTTTGGATTTGGTGCAGCAACAGGTACAATGGCAGGCTGCTTCAGCCTTTTTTTATTACACGTGATTTATACTGAATTTTAGTCTCCTTTGACACACTCTCTAAACCCCCCCTCCCCTCCTCCCCCCTTATTAATCTATTTACCGAGTCTGCCCAAAATGAGAATGGACAGGGTTAATGATCAAGTTATATTGGTCAAAACTAGAGTGGGGATAAGTTATATACATTCTAATTATGAGAAAAACAAACATCCGAACTGATCTAAATAGATGTATGTTTTTTTAGTCTGACTCTGTTGAAATTTGTATGCAAAATGTTATCATTAAGTTGTAGGTAAATAAAATTTTGCTATTGGTGAAGAAAGTGTTTTTTTAGCAGCAGCCTCCTCTGCCTTAACTTTTTGGTATACATATCCAAAATTTTGCTATCCACCCTTCCTAATGTTACTTCTGGGCTCTGCTGAATATCAATTTCAACTTTGGTGTCAGCCAATCTGATAGGTTGGCAACTATGAACCCTGCAAAAACCTGAAAAAAAAGAGAGAATATTACATTCTTTCAGAGCAATTTGTACGAACAGAATTGAAAAAGTCTCGACCATTTTCACATATTTTTAGAACGGAGGTGACCAAGTTGCAAAGTTAAAAAAGCTTTGTTTGGAGTTCGGAGTAGAAACAGTGTGCTGTAAATTTAACCGTTCTTGAAAACAATTTGTGAAAATGGACTTCTAGAACTATTTTGAAGAACAACTAACCAGGGGTGAAACATCGGTCGGTAGAAAACTCAAAATATTTTAAGCTTTGTATTGACCTGTTTGTTAGATGGTCGGTAGAAAACTCGAAATATTTTAAGCTTTGTATTGACCTGTTTGTTAGATGGTCGGTTGGTTTGTGATCGGTTTTTGGTGAATGTCAGAGGAAGAGATGCTGTGTTGGCCGAACAGCAAAGCTTGGGAGAGGGAAGGGGGAGAAAAAAAAATTCGAGAAGTAGAGGGAAAGGAAGAAAGGAGAGAGGAACGGTGGTTTGGTCTGTCTCGGTTGGTTTTTTGGATTTATTTGTTCACCCCTACAACTAACCATCAATCCTTCACGAGCGATGTAATTTTAGCTATTCATTGTGCTCGATTTGCGCAAATGTGACCAACACGAACACTTCTATACCATTGTTAACAAACAGTGATGTGGTTAAATATAAAGGATGGGAGAAAATGAGATTGGATATTTGCCTCAATGGATCCAAGAATGTAAAGCAGAGAATAATGGCGGCCATGGATGATCATATCAGTGAACATTGCAATTGGAATGGTGAGTGAAGAACCTAATGCAGCCACCAGAGCTGGTCCAAATGGCTCCCAATGCCCTGTAAAATTCAAGCTTTACTTTTTGAAGATGACTTCTCTCTCTCTTCTCTCTCTCTATCATACCAGAAGTAATCAGCAACAAAATTTCCAAGGAAGCAATTGGCAACAATGGCTTCCACCACTTTGCCTGATTTGGGAACTGCAAACTTGGGTTCTGTGCCTAAACCTGTCAATGGCCACACTGCAAAAACAAAAACAAAAAACAAAAAAACTTATATTGATTACAATTCATAATATTCATAATCTAGACAGTTCAGATTGAGTTGATTGATCATTTTTAATGCGAAAAGGGTCTAGATCCCATATTGCAAAACCTTGAGAAACAAAAAATATAAATAGTTGTCAAATGCTTAGATTTCTTAATGAAATTAAAAACGAGAAACAAGAAATGGACCCTTATTAAATAGCTCCTAAAAAACCAATTACCCGAAAATGTGTTTCGGTTTCCTCACCTAGCCACCATAGGGCGAGAAAACAAAGAATCCAACAAAGCCAAGGAACTTCTGCAAGTCCAAATTTTGTCCATTTTGCCCAGCATATTTCTTTAGCAGCACTGCAAATTTGACAAAAATATACAATATACATTATAAAAATGGTGTTTAATTTCTATTATTGAAGAAAATTTGGACATCTTTTTTTGAATATTTCTAACCATAGTAAAGGCCATCTGTCATGGCTGAGAGCAAAGCAAATGCATCTCCTACTAAACAATGCTTCTGATTTTTGTGAGTGTCGGTTCTTATGATTGTGTTTCGATGTTAAAATTGAATTTTTCTAGAGCAACTATGTTCGAGTATTTCTTCGTAGATAATTTTAGGCATGTTTCGTTTTAAGAAAGTATTTAGTGCATATAGTGCTCGACTCGTACACTCCAAAGCTTAAGTTAGTATTTATTTTGAGTTACTATTGAGTCGAGTTTAGATAGGTTGTATAGAGATTACGTACTTTTAGAAGTGTGGGACTTCACATTTTATAGAGGAGTTTTGAGAAGTACAACTTTGCCACGAGTGAATTTTTCAATGGATTTTTTGCTGGAGTATCCCTTTCCCAAGTCGGGTCTGAACTGTGTTATCTTTTAGGTTGGTGGCATACGATTATGCCAATTTCACTTCATCCTTGACGTAACTGAGCTGAAACTCAAATACATGTTCTCGGGTGAGTGGTCCACACGTGGCGGGTCCAAAGCCCACCTATGATAATTTTGGTATTTAAATTGGTGAGATACCTAACAAATAGTTCAAATAAGTAGTAATAAATTATTCTCATTTTAGTTTTAAAAAAAATAGAGCGCATCTATTTGAAATGGTTAATAAGTTTGTTCAATTTTCATAAAACATTGCTCATAGCCAAATTTGTTGTAATGAATATGATACCCAACTGAAAGAAGGGAAGAAATTGAACCAAAACACTCCCATCTTCCTATAATACACTCAAACAACAAGAAATTAAACTTAAAATAACATTGAAATAGACACTAATGAAAAAGAGTGAAAGACCAAAATAACAAATCACATGGAGCCCACTAAAAAGCAAATGTGAGAAGCACAATAAGAATGAGAGGGGAAAGTAAAAAATAAAGTTCAAACAATGGAAAATCCTTCAAAAAATAACAAAGAGAACAAAATCCAACCATAACAATGGCGGCCTTGATAAGGAAGTTTTCATCGTAATGGTTCAATATTAATGTATGTTACTGTTAATATGAACATAACTCAACTGGTTAAAACATATATTTTCGATCTAGAAGTTAGTGGTTTGAATCTTCACCTTCACATAGTTAAACTAAAAAATTATAATAAAGTACTGCTATAGTATTAAAAATTATTGGACGATATACCTCAATGATACGAAAGCTACGATATTATGATATTTACTAACAAAATTTTCATGGTTCGCTATGATTCCTACAAAAGAATTTGATAATTACCAATATCATGAGCATAACTTAAGCATATAACTATTTTCTTTGGAGTGGGAGGTTTAAATCTCCGCTCTCAATATTTATTACACCAAAAAAATAAATTTGAGAATCAATTTTTTTCAAATATTTGTCAATATAAACATCTACTTTGGTTCATATTAATTATTTGTCATTAAGTGAGATGGATGCCTCATATCGCATCAACCTCTCTCCTTCTACCACGTGTCAATTCCTTACCCTTCCTCACATCTATCATGTAGAGCCAGGATCATTTCAACCATATGCACTCGCAGCATCGCGTCCGTTAGATGCAAAAATGGTCACGTGGCGTGTTTAACGGTTACACTATAATGGTCTTTACCGTAGAGTAGCATTTCCCACGTTGGCTCTCTTGTGCTTCGAGTTTCATTTCGTTTCCAAATTTGTGTTTCTGTCTTATCCCTTTTCTCTCGCCTTAGCCCTCGCAATTGCCCGCTCTTCGTTATCATCACCACACCCGTGAATCGGAATCGCAATTCGCCGGAACCTTGGCCGATTTCCGATGGCAAATTCTCTAATTGCCGGGACGTAACTGTAATCTTGGTCCAATTTTGGTTCTCGGAGAAGTGAAGCTGATGATATATTTCCGTCGAGGATTTGTTTGATTGAATTCGGGTTGGTTTCAGTAGAGATTTCTTATGCGAGGTAGGAATTTATCTGTTTCTTTCACTTTATAGCTGAATTTATGTTCTTTGTTCTCGCAGAAAAATCTTAGGGTGGTGAGTATCTAGTTTAGTAGAACTGGATTTAGGTTGCAGTTTAGGAGATACTTTATGGTGTTGTATGAGCTTGGAAGCATGGATAGAGGGTGAGGAAAGATAAAAAGAATGAGAATTGTGGTAATAGTTAGAGAACTGCTTGTTTATGGGAAAATGCCGAGTCTTCTCTCTCGCTTAATGTTGAGTCGTCTCCGCAGAGTTGTTATTGGTCCTGTTTGGAGGAGTCCCTGGTGTCGTCTTGCTTCATGATGTCTTGGATTAAAAGAGGATATAATACGTATTTGGTCTCTTTGTACTGAATTTCCTTCAAGTGGATTGTAGATCCTCTGAACTCTCTCGTATCACTTCTTATTTGTGGTAGGAAATTTTTTTTGATGATTTCTATGGGAACTTGGAAGATATGGAAAAGGGTGGATGTACTTTTGAAGTTGATTGAAGGAAACATGGATGTTCCAGACCTCCACATTAATTCAAGGTTGATTCGAAATTGCTTGGTGAAAACCTGTATGTTTTGTGAAAATTGTGAGAACATACTCGAAGTAGGAGAATTGATTGTTTATCAAGTTTTACCTAGTTAAGCACCTTTTTAGGTCACTTGCAATGTGGTATGAAAATTGGATTTTGTGCTTGAAATCAACAAGTACCTTACAAGATTGGACCTGCCCAAGGAAACCAAGCCATTTTATACGAATAAGTTCATAAATATTTTGCTTCCCATTTTAATGTACCTGGTGGATGTGATCAATTGATCAGGCACGTGAACTATAGTATTTTCAGTTACTATCGCTGTAGGAAATATGGAAGTTTTAAGTGTTTTTATCCATATCTTTTCAATGTTTTGCAGGCAGAATGAAGGGTGTTAGAGACTGGTTATTTTCTCAATTGGTATCCAAGTCGGTGGTTTCATCTAGACCATTACTGGGGAGTGACAGTTTCTTTGGTGAGGAAGTCAAGGAACACATGGATGAAGACCAAGATGATCAAGGTAAATATCTGTATACATGAAGATTTTTGCCTTGGTTCTAGATTCTATTTTTCCTGCATCTTTTGTTGGCAGACTTTAAGAAAATTTATAATTTGTTTGGTTTACTTATTCAACAGGACATCTCTTTTAAGGATGCTTATGCATAAAAATATTCATTGTCAGTTGTCGCTCTAAACTTTGAAGGGTTATTGTTTTCGTGAAGGATTGATGCTCTATGTCCTTTCACTTTTCATAGATTTCATAATCGATTATTATAATAGATTAAAAGCTTTAAGTCTATGACGTTTTTCTGGAACCGGAATTCAAACTCCTTCACAAAAGTTGTATCTCATTTTATCTGTTGAATTATATACCCAGAGGGTCTCAGTGGAAAGAGTACAGGATGTTTGGAGGCCCTCTCAAGGATTTGGGTTCAAGCTTCGGATAGAGAACTTTATGAAGTCTTTATTGCCTCTAAGAACTAGCTCAGGAGAGGGTGAAGCCTCCCCGAGATTTGAAGGATGAGGCGTTAGCATAATGCAAGAAGTAGGGTCCTAGGACCGAGTTATAAAAAAAAAAAAAGATTGGATTATAAGCTTGGCCCTTGAATTTTCAGAGTTTTAGAATCTTGAATTTAAAAATGTGCTTGATATATCTCTATACGTTTAATGTTGTGGCTAATAGATCCTTAAACATTAAAAAAGGTGTCTAGTAGGTCTTTGATCTTTAAATTTTGTGTCTAATAGGTGTGACCTATCAGATATATTTTAGAATTTAGGAATCTACTTATACACAAAATAGTTCTTGAATTATAAAAAATGTCTAATCTGTACAAAATTGAAGTTCATGAACCTACCACTTTTTTAAGGTTTGGGATCTATTGGATACAATACTGAAAGTTTAGTCCTTGAACTTTCAAAGTTGGTACAATATAGTTCAGGAACCTACCAATATATTAGATGCCAAATAGTTCTTGAATTATTAAAAATGTCTGAACCTACCAATATATTAGATGCCAAATAGTTCTTGAATTATTAAAAATGTCTAATCAGTACAACGTCGTTTAAGTTTAGAAATCTACCACTTTTTTAAAGTTCAAAGATCCATTGGATACAATATTGAAAATTTAGAAATCTATTAGACCAAAGACCTATTATATACAATTATAAAAATTCAAATGACTAAAATTGTAATTTTACCAAAAATGTTAATTTTGTTCTAAATCTTTTTGGTTTGTTCTCAAACTAAGTATATTCTATAACAACTTATTTTCTTCTGTAGTTGCACATGCAACCACTGCTGTAGCACCTAGTGGCCCTCATACATCAGTCTCCAGTGGGCATTTGGAAAATCAACATGATTTGTCCCTGGAGCCGGTTCCTAGTGGAGATTCACCCCAATCTCAACATAGCTCTAACAAGGCGAAGATGGATGTGTTGACAAAGATTGAGGACCTCCAAGTTCAATTCTTTCGGCTTCTACAGCGAATTGGACAGACACAGAACAATTTGCTAGTGGAAAAGGTTCTGTATCGAATACATCTAGCAACTTTGATACAGGTAGGGGAATCGGATCTCAAAAGAGTAAACCTTGAAAGGGGTAAAGCCAGAGCAATAGCAGCTGAACAAGAAGCAGCTGGGATACAAGAATCAAACTTCGCATTTAGAATACTTGTACTGGGAAAAACAGGAGTTGGTAAGAGTGCTACGATAAATTCCCTCTTCGATCAAGCAAAAACTGCAACTAATGCATTTCAACCTGCAACTGATCGTATTCAGGAGATTGTGGGAACAATTAATGGGATTAAAGTCTCCATCATTGATACCCCTGGTTTTTCACAATCCTCGTCAGGGAGTATGAAGAGAAACAAGAAAATTATGTTTTCTGTGAAGAGATATATAAGGAAATCCCCACCAGATATTGTTCTGTACTTTGAACGCCTTGACCTCATAAATAAGAATCATGCTGATTACCTTTTGATGAAGCTAATAAATGAGGTCTTTGGTTCTGCAATTTGGTTTAACACCATCCTTGTCTTGACCCATTGTTCCTCAGCTCTTCCGGAAGGACCTGATGGATATCCTGTCTCCTTTGAATCATATGTCGCCCATTGCTCAGAGCTTTTGCAGCAAAATATACACCATGCATTGTCTGACTCGAGACTTGAAAATCCCGTTCTTTTGGTTGAGAATCATCCTCAGTGTAAGAAAAATGTTATGGGGGAAAAAGTTTTACCAAATGGACAGGTCTGGAGATCACATTTCTTGTTATTGTGCATTTGTACTAAAGTTTTGGGCAGCATTAGTACCCTATTGAGATTTCAAAATTGCATTGAGCTAGGGCCATTGGCTAATACCCGGCTGCCTTCACTTCCCCACTTACTCTCATCTATTCTAAAGCACCGAGGTACGTCTAGTCCATCTGGTGCGGACTATGACATTGAAGCTATTCTACTTGGTAACAATGAAGAAGATGAGTATGATGATCTACCTTCTATTCGCATCCTGACAAAATCCCAATTCGAGAAATTGTCAAGCTCACAGAAAAAGGAATACCTCGATGAGCTGGAATACAGGGAAACACTATATTTAAAGAAACAGTTGAGAGAAGAGTATCAAAGGCGGAGGGAGATTAAGCTTTTAAAAGATAAAGATCTGGTGCACAATGATAACAATGGTGGTTCGCAGGCATTTCCGGAGGCGGAGGCTGTTCTGTTACCAGATATGGCTGTTCCACCCAGTTTTGACCCGGATTGTCCTGCTCACAGATATCGTTGCATTGCAACTGATGATCAGTGGATTGTCAGACCTGTTCTTGACCCACAAGGATGGGATCATGATGTAGGCTTCGATGGGATAAATTTGGAAACGGCCATGGAGATGAACAAAAATGTTTATACCTCGATCACTGGACAGCTAAGCATGGATAAGCATGTATTTAACATTCAATCCGAGTGTGCTGCTTCTTACATTGATTCCAGGGGATCTTCTTATACTTTAGGTCTAGATGTTCAATCTTCTGGTGCAGATAGGATGTACACTGTTCATAGCAATGCTAGGCTGAGGAGCATCAAGCATAACCATCCTGAAATTGGAGTTTCTATGACATCTTTCAAGAGAAATTGTTATTATGGTGCCAAGCTTGAAGATACCGTACATATAGGTAAGAGAGTGAAGTTTGTAGCAACTGCAGGTCGCATCGAAGGACCAGGTCAAGTGGCATATGGTGGGAGCATTGAAGCTACTTTAAGGGGTAGAGACTACCCAGTGAGGGATGACCATGTCAGTCTAACAATGACTGTCCTCTCTTTCAACAAGGAAATGATCTTGGGTGGCAACGTCGGGTCTGAGTTTCGGCTTAGCCGAAGCTTGAGAGTATCAGTTAATGCCAACTTAAATACACGTAAAATGGGTCAGATCTGCATAAAATCAAGTAGCTGTGAGCATTTGCAGATCGCCTTGGTTTCTGCTTTTACAATTTTCAGAGCCCTTCTGCGTAGAAAGGAAATTGAAACGCTGTAGTTTCGGATGATCTGTGCTGATTTTGAACTCAAAGATGACTTCTCTGCAACCTGGAACTGAAAACAACTGGTCTTCAGTTCACACAGAGACCCAAATATGATTAATTTTCCTTGTGTCTGTATTCCATTGCTTTCCCAGAGAAGTACATTACTGATTGCTAGCAGAGCCAGGCGTTTCCGCCGAACGGTTCTTGAGAGAGGTTTGTATACTTGGGGGAAAATTTGAGTTGATAATTGTACAGCGATAGGTGAAGTTAGATTTTGTTCTTAAACTTCCAGAATAAATTCCAATTTTGTATTTTTTGAACTTTTTCCTTTCTAAGATTGATAGATTTTGGTGTCTTATAGCAATCTTGAAGACCTGAATCAGAAGGGAAAAGTTGATTCACAAGGACATAATGCCTCTGAATCACAATGCTGGTATGATTCTTTTACATAGCCCCACATTAATCAAAGGAGTTGCAGAAGTTCTCTACTGATTTGAATGTTAGAAAAAGTTGTGCGGTAATGTAGTAAAATAAGTATTTTTAATCATGGATTTAGTAAAATCAAATTTTGATTAATTAATTATATATCATTATTAACTCTTCTGCTATCAATAAATTATTGCCTAATACTGCATTTATGGTTGAAACAAATAAATCTGATTAGTATTTTATTAAAATAACGATTTAATCATCTTAGTCTGTAATGATTGTATTCCTATACTTTTAGATAGGTAATTTAGTCTCTGGAATTTATAATTTGAATTTTTACCGTGAAAAATTTCATCAAAGTTAAATGACAATTTTTATTACGCAACAACTTTGTAGTTTGTTAATACATATATAACTAAGTTAGAAATTTTAAATTACATAAGAGTAAATTGCTATATATCAAAGTTCAGGACTCAATCTAAGTCGTAATTTGAGTCCCTTGGTAACATTAAAACTTAGATTCAGAAAGAATTAGATATTTCAAACTACTAAACCAAATATAAGCCACATCAAAACATTTCAGAATTTGCAACAAAAAGGACTTTCAGTTTCAGGTTCTACCATAAATACCATAAATATCTAAGGAAGCCAAAGCTTTGGCCATTTCTTTCATCTGGCTTGTAATTCCTTCTCTTCACAACTTTGTGGTCTACATAGTCCCAATGTGTATGGAACATTTATATACAATCTTCACTCTTCAGGTGTTTCTCTCACATATAAAAGGTGTGAGACTCATTATTCAGTTCACAGAAGTAGGTATTGTACATCCTCAAGTTGCAGCCTTACCGTACCGGGATCTGCTCAGGAATCACGGTAGATTGGCTGTGGCATCCATTTGAGGTGTAAATTTAATCGTCCTGACTTGGCCCCGTCGAGTTCGAACGATTCCTTGTATTCCCCTTCTAGTATTACTCTTGTAAGTGTCAGGATGCATCTCCCCATATAATCCTAAATGATTCAAGAAATCAATGTTAGATGCGTCGTATTATCTTATTGAGATTGCTGCAATGGTAAGATACATCGACGTGGAGATCGCTATAACATGAAGAAGTAGAGCTAGCTCATTTTATATTTCGAATATTGTTGACAGGAAATGGCAAGAATAAGCTTTACATGTCAAAAGACACGGGATATAAACCGAGTTAGAAATTCTAGACGTGCAAAAAACGTCTGCACATGTTCTATCAAGCTAGTCACAACTAGATTCCAGCTCGAAACAAGATGGAAAAACCAACCGATTTTAATAGAGCGATGCCTTACCTTTCCGAAAGTGTCGTGATCCCAGACTTCAATAATTAGCATATCATGTAATCCATCTTCAACAACAAAGTCAAAAGTTTGATTCCATATGGGATTCAAGCTCTCATTCACAACCTGAAAAATGAAACTCAGGATTAAGGAAGAAGAGCAGGCATTCTTTTAAATCCATTCGTTAGAAAAACCGCGGTAGATATTAGTTTCGGGCACTGGAGTCTTACCCTTGTTTTGTTCTTCATTTCTGATTTTTTCATGCTGAGTACAACATATGGGTCAGACTTCCCTACCAGATCTGTAGCAGGCAAGTCTTCAGCAGATATTACTGTGACAGAAAGTACTCCTCTAATAATAACCTCTCTCCTCTTCTGTGTGACAGCTTGTTCATTTTCAGTAGTTTCTGTTCCGTTCACCCGATTTTTAAGTACACTCTCCAAGGAAGTCATCGAGGAATCGGAGGCAAATGGATTTGTAAAGCCGTTTTCCATACCGAAAGGACAGTACAGAAGCTCCAAGTGCACCTAATAAATACATTCAACAGAAAGTTACAAAAGGAATGCACATATCACACAGAGAAATAGGAAGTCCTCTCAGCAGAACCGTGGGATTGCTTTAGACCGTTACGATCTACTCTGACATGTATTAGGTGGGAAAACGATATGTCGAAAATCTTAATGGAGGTATGACCAATATGAACTTTGAACATAGATAATCCAAGAAAGCTAGTATGAAGAGGATGAGTATGGACTCACTTAGAAATAGACAACAGAAATTGCCCATACAAATAAATGATATTGACACAAATAATCAAAACATTCATTTAACGAGTAATTTCAATTGTTTTCCACGAACGGCTATGGGTTCGGTTCTACGGCTTAGACTAGATCCTCAGGCTAAACCAAAACTATAGAATAGATGGGGAAATTGGGTGGGATTAAGTCTTAACGGTATTGTTACCTGCCCCCTGTTCTTATTATCTCTGTAAACCTCCAGATCTTTAACCAGCTTCAACCACACATCCTTCACTTTACCGGGCTGAAGTTCGCTTAACCGTATCTGAGCACATCCTATGAGCTCAGAAGCCTGAAGTCCTTCATCATCATAAATTTTCACGACCAATTGTTGTGTGGATTCATCTTCAACGACAAACTCAAAGTGCTCGTTCCATATTGGATTCAAGTCATTGTTCTAAAGAAGAAACAGTTGAAGTTTACATTATATCCAAGAGACCAAAGAGGATGAAGCAAAAGAGGAGTAATATGACTCACAATTATTTTGCTGGTTTTCATTCGGTCGCGTAGAGGCCGTATATATAACACAGCATAGGGATCTGATTTTCCAATCATATCTTTATTTGTTAACTCTTTTGCCTGCACAAGTTTCACCTCCAATATCCCAACGGGTTTCAATTCCAGGTCACTGAAACAATAAAAGTTGACCATCAAGTTTAAAAATGCAAGTCCAGTGTCGCGAGGAAAGGCCACAAGATCATTTCCCAAAGTCATACCTGTAATCTCCAGGCAAAATAGGGATAACTTTCCTAACAGGCCATGTAATAGAGTCCTCAACGGCATCTCGAATTGTTCCCTATGTTACAACATAGAAACCTTACTGTTAGATCTAGCTCCAAATGAAATCTGAAACTTGATTCTCTGTGGACAATCTGTAAGAGTACAATATAACATTCGCATGCGAAGAGAAAACAGTGAATATAATGATGAAGAATGGTCACACCTCAATTGAACTGTATAGCCCAGGTATTGCCGATATGTCCCCCCCAACAACTTTAAGTGTAAAGTCCAACTTTTTCTGTTAAGAAATAGTTAATGTTTCATCATATTTGCTGCTTGATAATGAGCGAGGATTTTTTTGCTCAATTACTAATAGAAATTTATGCGGTACCTTTTGCCGCAAAGAAAAACAAACAGCACCAAAGCATGGAAATTCATCGACCAGAGGCTTGAATATCAACCTGAAAACACCTGTGAATCCAATGTTTTTCACCTGGACAGAGTAGAGAAATAACAAATGCAACAATATTATTTCAAGGATGGAATAAGTTGTTTCACATGTGTCATTCTCCACTCTAAAAGGCAAACTAGGAAGTATAAAGTGAATTCCTACACAGGAGCCCCTTTCATTCCACAATTTCTTCAGAGTTCCTTGTATCATGATAGACCGAGGAATGACTGTAGACATTGTTCAACCAATAAGCTAAAGAGTAATGAATAGTAAGGACAATAGGCTCAAAATACCTGTACTGGTAGTGCAACACCGAGTCTAGTCTTTATGTCAAGTATTATACTTTGATTACCATCCCACTGCATTTCCAACTCCATGGTGATACCATCGGCTCCCCCATCTTCAATTATAGAAATTCCTGCCAAGTAGAATAAGACAATAAGAACTTCAGATGAACTTTAGAACAGATAATATTACTTGGAGGGAAAGTTTGAAAAGAAAAAAAAAACAGGAGATAGAAAAGAAATATATTTTCATTTGAGACAATATGCTAGCCTTTTTAAACCAGCCCAACTAATATCTCTAGGAAGGATTTGTCCACCCACTACAGTTTCAAGAGACAACAATGATTTTAAATTATTAAGTTTCTAAAGTTAGAGACTTGATCACGATTTGGGTCTTTTCAATCCCTAGCTCTTATCACCTGGGCATTCCTTAAGATATGCTAAACTTGTACATAGATATGAAACGTAAAATTTGCAAGATCCTTGTCAGTCTGTAACGATTTGACTCCAGTTATACTATTCCATCAATACTCAAAAAGCTGAAATACCAGTCCCTGTACACCCACGAGCTTTGTTATTTAATAGAAATGCAAGTGTATTACAATAAAGAAAGCGACCCAATGGAATGAATATCATGCAAAAAAAGAGAAAACCAAGTTTACAAACTACATAATCATCAATTCCCTCATGTCCAACTTGAACAAACCTGTGAATTGTGGAGCCACAGTGCCAAGGGTGAATCTGGAAAACTTGAGTGATGACAGTATGATAGGCCTGTATCGTTCAAGAACAGGCTCTACCGAAGCCTTTATCAGATCAGAAGCTGCCTATAGCACAAAATTAATAAGGTGAACTTAAGAAGGAGACCCAACACGTCAAGAACAGACAATTACAGTAAAACCCAGAAAAAAAAAATGAAAAAAATCTACCTCATTAACATACGGCCATATCTTGGTAAGATGCTGATTCAGCCAAGTCAACTGCAAAATGAAGCAACGGAACCAATGTCAATCCACCATGAACAGGAAAACTAAGTTGCTCCTTCATCCATAAGAGGAAAAAGTGAGAAGAAAACTCAACTTTTGGCTCTGGGAAAAGACGACCCAAGTGGGATAATACTGAGGGGGCAAGATCTTTCTCGAATCTTCCACTGTCATTCTGGCCAAAGCAGAGATCGTAGCAGCAAGATCCGACCGGCGCTTCGACCGGGCATTCTCGGACTTCACAAATCCAACGACGAGAGCTAGCCCAACCACTATCCCGAGCACAAGACCAAGAACAAACGCCATTTGGGGCAAAGGATCAGGATTTGGGAACGGGAACTTTATGGGCTCAAAACGCGATGGGGGAACAAGAAGACAAAGAACCAAAAACCCACAAAATTACACATACGGAATTACGGATTGAAAGAGAGAAAGAGGGAATTGAAGAGGTGGGAAGATTATTGAACAAGTTATAAATGATTTTGGGGCTGAAATTGGAGCGTGGTCGATGAAATCGAGCTGGAATTGGACGGACGAATCGCTAGAGAGTGTGCTTTACGAGTGTCGCTATTCCGGCAGCCGATTAAACCGCGTTGCCGTGCCGACACGAAAACGTCGGGATTGGATCTCTCTCCTGCTAAATCATTGTTAATAAATTGTTGGGTTCTTCATTTTTCTTTTTTTCCTTTTTTTTTTTTTCAACACGAACTCAAATAAAGGTATGGAAAATAAAAAACACAATAAAAAGGGGATCTTGCTAAATGTTTGTGTACTAAAATGATTTGGTGATGAATAGTTAATCAAACGATTAAACAAAAACGTAAAAGCTTGAGTATTTAAGAAGTAATTTGGACTACAAAAGTCAACTGGAGCTTTTATTTGTGGAGAAATTATATTAGTTTATGTTGACTTTTTTGTTAGATATTTATTTCTCCATTTATTTTCTTAAAAATATCAATTATTAATGAAAAGGGTTTGGATAGGTTAATTCATTAAATGGTTAAGCAAATAAAATAGACCAAGACATTAGGAGTCGGTAATGTGGTTTTGATTACAGCGATAAAGTTAGTGATTTAATGCCAACCTAAACATAATTTAATTGATTAAACCATATATTTTCAATCAAATGGCAGCATATTTAAGTTTTCACCACACATTTGTTATATCAAAAAAAGTTAGTAACTTGGTAAGATAGTATAAGGTGATGTTGGAAAGGAGCGTGTTTTTAATGGGAAGCTAACAAGATTATTTGAGTAGGGTACATAACATAGGACATTTAAGGTCCTAAATTATGGAGTAGGAATCCTTAACCTATTAAAAAGGCTTCTTGTCTTGAAAAAATAGTTGGTGATTAGACGAGTCCATATGGCAAAGTTCATGGAAATTCAAATACCTCCCTATGTAGCACTTGACTAGGTGATTAGAGTGGTGCATCCTTAGATAAGTCTCCCTTACTGCCACTCGACAGAATCGCACTTGAGATTTTCACATCAGAATAATCATGGTATACACTTCCGTGTACTAACTAAAGTGTTGTGTCTGTCTGGTGGAGGCCATATTCACGTTGGTACATATCAAACAAACTTAAAGAGGAAAGAGACCTAACTTTAGGCTTCTTTTTTTCTTTATGGGGAGTAAAGATGAATAGTGACATATAGTCTCCTAGTCATCCAATAGAGAGAGTATGAGTGAGATTTGAGACATGCTATTTATAGTTGAGAGGTAATTTTGCCACATTTGAAACGTGCTATGAAATTGATTTGTCATTCCTATATCTTCACTTGAAATAATGTTGGATGTGGAGACTAGTATGAATTTGGTCATTCATTGAGCGTTTTCTTAAGTGGTTGGGAAGCATCGTACACACCTTAGCATAACTTTATAACTCTAAACTAGAGATAAAGAATCATAAAGGTAGGATCACTGAGATATTCCATTTAATTGAAGTGGCTCAACTTGACACATCGCGCATATGAAAAGATATATACCATGACAAATTCTTTATTTTATTATTATTTTTATTATTACGACACGAGTGCCTTATTAGTTGAATGGGATATTGGCTCGATTGTTACATGATGGTCACTATAAATTATTTAAAAAGTGATTATCTTCCAAATAAACGGTTATGTGAATTACTTGACATTTTTAAAATAATTAAAATGTCTTCACCAAATTAACAATCAGATATAATTAAAATAAATATGATTAAGCACATTAACTATTGCATATTACAATTAAAAGAAAATATACTAATTACCGCTATTTACGATCTATCATCGCATAATTCATAATATGGGGTATTATTGGGTGCGGTGATCTTAAATTTTGAATTTGGGCCCAATAAATAACAAGTTGAGGCCCATTTATTATATTTTAAGGCGACCCATTTCTTGAAGCCCATAAAATAAGTATGTTCAATTATGGTTATTGATTTTTTGGGCTACACCAAAGCTCTGGAAATTCTGAAATTCTGAGTAATGGCTACGTATATAGAATAAGGTAATAAAAAATGATGGTAAGTTTTATAATTCTCAATAATGACCAATATTTATTTACAAAAATTATGGAAATACCCCTCCCACATCCCCTCCGTTCATACATGAAATTAGTTATTTCTTTTAACAATAATTAGTAACTTTTCTTTTAATTATTATTTAAAATTTAGTTGTTTCTATTCCATAATAAATATAATTTTTTTTCTATTATTTTTGTTAGAGTCTTTGGATATCTATTGTCCATTTTTATATAAAACAATGCATTTTTCTATTTATATGAGGTATATACGTACTGTTATCTTAATAATCTATATTATTACCTCAACCATTATTTTTCCTTAATATCCTGTATATTTGGTTTCCTTAAACTATTATCTATGTTTTTTGTTTTTTAGGTATAAGTTAGCTTAGAAAGTTCCTAAAATCAAGCTAGTATATGAACTTTTTGTTTGAGGGTATATCTGTCTCAAATAAAATGTAAAATCGTACTATAGTTTTGGCCATTTGGTTTCAAGGGCATCTCTGTCATAAATAAAACTAAGAATTGGATCATGACCGTAAATTAGTCACTATCACAATATTTGATATTTTTGGCTATTTTTCAAAAGGTATTATTTTTTATAACCTTCCCTCTAGTTAGGTAATATTTTATATTTGAGGGAACCTTTAAACGTTGCAGTTCTTAGTAACCGGCCGCATCCTCTAGTTACCTTCATCACCATCCATTCCTATATAGGGCCTTCTCATCAGTTGTAGGGTTTGGCATCTTGGAATTGACCTAACTTCGCTAAAAAATCTAGATAGTCCGACACACGAGACGTCCGATATATATATACACATTATATAAATTTTTAATATATATTACAAGTTTGGTATTATCTTTTCTTGGTGAGACCAATGGAGAAGTCAATGTCCTTGTCCCGCTCGAGTGGTTGGTTCAGGTTGGAACTTAGAAATGAAGAAAATAAATTAAAGCAGGAAAAAAAAAGAGAAAAGGCAAAGTTAAATTTGTTCTCTTGAAATAAAATTTAAAAAAAATCAAATTTCGTTGCTAAAATAAGCCTAAATTTTAGAATGTTGTGATTAAAAGTATTATTTCTAAAATTTGAATGAACACATTGAAAAACTAGGATTTCTTACTTCTTTTACGTGTTTTGTTTATATTCAATTAAAAAAAAAGTGAGATTTACGTGTATATATTAAATGAACTATAGGCTAGATATATGTGTTTAGTCTGATATTTTTTAAATTTAATTTTTATTGTTTAAAAATGTTCACATTAATCTTCAATATTTGGGTGTTTTTTAAACTATTTTTTTTAAGGAAAGTGTTCGATATTAGTGAGATTAAGAAAAATAATAATAAACGATGAAAATTGGAGGTGAAGATATTTTATAATCAAAATAACCAATGAATAAATAAAAATATTCAAATAAATAAATAAAAAGAATAAGAGGAGAAAAATAATACCAAATATATCAAAAGATCATTTTCTCAGCTGGGTCCTTAATCACATTTTTGAAATAAATTTAAAATAGTAATATTAAAAAAAGGAATATTGAAACTCACAATTATTTAATTGAAAATAGATTTTTTGGATTATATTTGGTTTGATGGGTTTAATCACACATGTAATATTTTATTTTATTTTTTTGCCACACATGTAATGTTTACAATAAATAAAATAAATAAATAGAGTTTGTATAAAAGCTGGAAGCTGGTGGGCGCCGCCACGTTGGCTGCAGGTGGAAAGCGTTATTATTTATATTTTAACGCGGTAGCCGGTACGGCAGTTGAATTATTTTTCACCTAGAAATTCAATATTTTTTGCTTTTTTTTTTCCTTTAACAATTTAATGGGAAATGTAATAATAACAATATACTTTTTAATTAAATTATTTTCCCAAAATTTTATTCCATGTGTACAATAACTTAATTAACCTCCTTTGTTCTTTAGACAAACCAGAAAGAAAAGAAAACCCTCCATAATTTTATTTGTAGCCCATGATTATTCACGAGAAGGGCAGACCCATTAGACCATCGTAAATGATGTGTTGGTAGGTAACTAACATGAAATCTTATATGGGTTTGACTGACAACTTACAAGTAGAATCTTGTACCAAGATGGTGCTCGATCACACATACTATGCAATTTGAGTTAATACTTAGTCCAAATTAATGTTAAGCCGAACTTAAGTAGAATGTCAGAGATTATGTACTTTTAACGATGTGGGACTCTACCTTGGAAACATTAGGAAAAACACCTCTAATATTATAATGATGATCGTACTTGTCGTTTGTTAGTTTTCCACCGACAATTAAAAGATCCTCTTTAGTAGAGTCTTTCTCCGAATGTTAGCAAATTTTTCGCCAATCAAACTTCTCATACGCCTCTACGAGGGAGGGCGACATGTTTATACTAATTTTGACCCCTAACACTTCATCCCTCTCATACCTTAACTCTATATCAAAGTTATTTTTAATTTTGTTTTTTTTTTTTTATCTATTTGTGTGTGTGTTTTTTTCTGTAATAACCTCCGGATGTTTTCTACAAATAGTTGTACGAAAATCTCTCAAGCAAATGGTCAAAAAAGCTATAAAATCTATAACAAAGTTTATGTCAACCTTATTAGTAGTGGTAACTCGTTAAAGTATCAATCGAGTGTTTGAATCCTCTCATTCTTAGATCAAAATTTTTGAAATAAACCTACCTGTACAATTTTAACTTTAATCTTCACATCATATCTATATAATTTAATTTAGAGTGATTGCGTCTATTTTTGTAATTGCTTTTTGACAATCACAATGCTTATTTAATTTCTTCCCATTATATGTGGGGTGGAAGATTGAACTCACAGTCTCGATATATGACAATTATCAACTCTACTCAAATTTGATGATCAATAAATTGTAATTAAAAATTTTAAATGTACAATTAATTAGCAATGACAGCACAATTAACATTAGTGAAGCGGTTGATTATAAGGGGATATTGACAAAAAAAAATCAACATTAGATCAAGTTCCGTAGCAATTTGATAGCATATTATATTTATTTTCATCCCACGTAGAGGGACGGATGGACCTTCACTCTTTAAGTGCTTGTTTATGTTAAAACGAGCCTAGCTTAGTCGTAATTGATATATATTTCCAATCAAAAGGTTGTGAGTTCGATCCCTACTCCCACATGTTGTATTAAAAAAACGTTTGTTTCTCCTTGAAATATTGCTTTCGAATGTCTAACCAGATGCACAACAACACTTTTGTCTTTCAATTTTTAAAAATCATTGTCATTCGTATCTCCTACTCAAACTAATTAATTTGAAAGTTTAGAATCACATCTCGTGTAAATAATTTAACCTTAACTATGTATCGAAAGTTTAACCCAAGAAAAAACTATTATATACCTTCGGTAACATGAAATAAATTTTGGGGCCTAATCCCAACTTACCAAAGAAAGTTGCTGCCAACCATAACTCTCAATCATATATAAAAAAGAAGAAAATCTAAAACACATTTCACCATTGTTGGTAATTTTTTGCCATTTTTAGAGGATTTGTTTGAAATACAATGGACATCATCTTCCAAGCGCCCACTAGACAATGACTGTATCTGTTATATCTTTTTCAGAGAAAAAGTGAAGGCCACCGAGAGCCAAAAGGAATACAACAAACACAAAAAGTAAAATATATATATTTTTTTCTTTTTTGTAATACACAATGCAAATTAGTTTGTACTTTGTAGAAATTACCTGCTTATTTAAGCCAAAAAAATTACTTATAAATGCTAAATACTCAGTTTTTTCGTAATCACTTCTCTACTTCATTCAAAACGAGAGGGCAGACTATCCAAAGATGATGAATGTGTACAGAAAATTTCTGCTTTTTAAAAAAATTCCAACTTTGTTTTTGTCATTCTGCTGTTCCTCCCTCCAAATGAGAAAGTAGAGGGGAGAAAATTGGGAGATATTTGTATTTTGTATATCGCTTGGAAAACTTTTCAGTTCTGTTCTTCTCTCTCTCAAATGTATTGAATAGGAAAAAATAGATGGGATGGGGAAATGACAAGTTGGGAAAGTTTTGGGTTTTGCACCATTAATACGATATAATTACCGATGCCACAAGAATTCCTCCAATCAATGCAAACCCATCTCATAAAAATACGTTTCTGTGTCAGAATCACAAAACGAGACGCTTCTGCAGAAAAATAGAGGAAGTCCATAGCCATGGCACCCGCCGGCTCCTCCAATGGCGACGAGGAGTCCATTGTCACTTCCCTGCTCGCTCCTCAGAAGCCACTTGCTAATTCTTCCTCACAGGTCGCCATTGTTGGTGCTAATGTCTGCCCCATTGAGAGCCTTGATTACGAGTGAGTTGAGTTATTTGTTTGTGTTTTCTTCTTTCCCCCTTTGGGGGTTTGTATTCTGTTTCATGGGTTTGATCAGGAGTATAAGTGAGTTTGGTTGGTTTTCCTCCATTTTTGGGCGATTGCTTTTGATTCCCCCTTCTGGGGGTTTTGCCTCTTCCAATGATGTGGGGTTTCTGAAATGAGTTCACGATGTCTTGTTTGTTTCAGGATTTTTGATAACGAGTTCTTTATGCAAGATTGGAGAAGTCGCGGGGATTTCCAGATATTTCAATACTTGGTTGTGAAGTGGCTGTCATGCTTCTTGATTGGTCTAATTATGGGACTTGTTGGTTTTTTCAACAACCTGGCGGTGGAGAATATTGCAGGGAAGAAGTTTGTGGTCACTTCAAATATGATGCTTGAGGGGAGGTACCGACTTCCCTTTTCTTCTTCTGTGCTTCTGTTGATTGAAAATTGAAATCTTCCAGTCTTCTTCTGTGCTTCTGTTGATTGAAAATTGAAATCTTCCAGTCTTCTGTCTGTTTTGGTGGAATTTGGTTAATGTAGGAATATGATTGATGTTACTAAGAAGAGAGTTTTGGTTTCTGAACAGAAGTTTTATTGAAATCAAGCTCTAGTTTTGAAAGAAAACTGTGTTAAGAGGAAGAAAAACTGTTCTTTCAGGTATTGGACGGCTTTTCTTGTTTTCTCTTTTTCCAATTTAGTTCTCACCCTGTTCGCATCTGTCATTACGGCATTCATCTGCCCCCAAGCAGCCGGCTCAGGTATACCAGAAGTAAAGGCTTATTTGAACGGCGTGGACGCCCCTGGGATATTATCGCCCCGGACGCTGTTGGTGAAGGTAATATAGTTCCTTGTACAGCTTTTCTCGAGTTCCAGAATTCTGTATCTAATTTCTTCAGTGCATCTACTTTTTAGTTGTAGAGTTGCTCCTTTGCTTTGAGATGCGAAATGCCCCTTTTTCTCTTCAGTTCTGTAGATTAACATTACATTTTTGGTTTTAATATGTTTCTCATTTTGTTGCCATTTTTAGAGAATCTGTTGATCATTCCATGTAGTTCTGAAGTTATTCTCTCAACGCCCTTTTAACAAAGAACCTAGTAATCGGGGGTGGTTTCTCTTTTGTAAACTTTTTTGGCATGACGTATCGAAGAGATGCAGATTTATTTCCCTCTTTAAAACTGATCAGCAGTGGGAAGCCTATTCTTTTAGGGGCTTCATTAAAATAAAACAAACCGCTAGTAGATTAATCAAAGTCTTTGATACGCCAATATAGTGTAGGTTACTTTTATCACTTATGCTGCCTTTCAACTTCATTCCCTACTCAAGTTAGAACTGGATGCCTAGTTTGAGGACATCTTTTGTGGTACCTTTGGATCCCGAAGCCTTAAAAACCTTGCTACATGTAAAATAGTTGGGCATTGAGGGCTTAAAATACCCTAGTTTGGTATGCTGTGATCTTCCTCTTGAAGCCGGAGTCATATAACGGTCTGATTGCAGATTATTGGCAGCATTTCTATTGTGTCGTCATCTTTGATCGTTGGAAAAGCTGGACCTATGGTACACACAGGGGCATGTGTTGCATCCTTGGTAGGTCAGGGTGGTTTCAAAGTATTTGGTTTAACATGGAGATGGCTACACCATCTCAAGAATGATCGAGATCGGCGGGATCTTGTAACATGTGGAGCTGCTGCTGGAATAGCTGCTGCTTTTCGTGCTCCTGTTGGTGGTGTGCTGTTTGCTTTTGAAGAGATGGCATCTTGGTATGTTTAATGGCTGGGTATTTTCCTTGATCCCTTTAGTTTTCCATGCTTTCCCTCCACCTTAATTGATTGAATATCAACGGAATCACATCTTTTCAGTTATTTGTTGTATTGTTTTCACATTCATGGTCTTCTTCTAATGTCAAAAAGGCATGTTCTATCATGAAATAGCTCAACAATTTCACATTTGATATAACCATTTTTTTAATAACTGGATATTGGAGCTTTGCTCCCCTGTACCAAGAGGCATCCGCACCTGCCCTAAAGCCCGAATTCAGGAGACATCAATAAACTCACTAGAAGGTTCAAACTTGAGACCTGTAAACTAGTATGACCAAGAGACCCCAAACCCTTGTCAACTGAACTAGCGGGTCGCATTTGCAATAACCATGTTAAAGGTTTATTATACTAACAAGGACATAACCCTCCAAGTTATTGGAATGTTGGAAGATACCCTTTTAAGTTCTTAGGTTCAAAGCTCAATTGGAAAACTGATAGAACTTCGATTATATTATTATGTTCAAGGAGGAATTATAAGCGCCAATAGAGATTTCAAGAGCTCTCTATCCTATCCACACTATATCCTAACAGAAGCAGACAAAAGATACCTTTACCTCACACGTTCCAACCTTCATATACCGTATACTACTATTTACTATAACACCTATCTAACTAACTTAGGCCCACCCCTCTAACAAAATTTCCTCACGTCCCACTTAACTCAGCTTCTCTACCCCTTTTCCTCCCTTCCTAGAATATACCGTCGTAATTGGAGGCCTAACAAAAACTTTATAATTTAAAAATCTTTGTTGTCTCCTAGTTCTAATCTTTGGGTGAGTGTTGCCTCAGTGTGGGCAGAATGCAAGAAGATACCCTGTTATCCAAAAAAAAAAAAGGAAAAGAATATAACCCTTTTAAATTTGAAATTTCTGTATGATCAAATATTCTTACTTTTCAATCTTTTGACCCAAATCTGATGTCCAGCTTTCTTCAAAACATCCGACAATTATAGAAGAAGTGATGGCCACAGGCAGAATAAATATGTTGTTATATAAGTCTGCTATTGCATCATTAGCATCATTATCTATTTCTTTGTAGTGATTTGAACTGCATACATTCTGAATCTTAGTAGCTGTGAATGCTGTGTTAGTGTATTTGAACGACCTCCTCGGGTTGACTGTTGTAACAGGTGGAGAAGTGCCCTTCTGTGGCGATCGTTTTTCACAACGGCTATAGTCGCTGTGATATTACGTACTCTGATTGATTTTTGTTTGAATGGCTTATGTGGATTATTTGGTAAAGGGGGGCTTATAATATTTGATACCTACTCAGACTTTCCTGCATATCACCTTGGTGATCTACCTCCTGTGCTTGCCCTTGCTTTTCTTGGGGGCATACTTGGAAGCTTATATAATTTTCTTTTGAACAAAGTTCTTCGAGTTTACAATCTCATACACGAGTGAGTTCCCCATTTTCTCCTTTATAAATGTTACAGAGTCTTATAATAAGCTTGGAATGTAGCTTATACTGTGAACCCATCTCCAGGAGAGGCATTGTTTACAAAATTCTTTTGGCTTGCTCTGTCTCAATTTTCACATCCTGTCTTCTCTTTGGATTACCGTGGTCCGCATCATGCCAACCGTGCCCATCGAGTGCTCGAGAAATTTGTCCTACGATAGGCCGATCTGGAAACTTCAAGAAGTTTCAGTGTTCTCCCAGTCACTACAATGATCTTGCAAGTCTCATATTCAACACCAATGATGATGCCATAAAAAATCTCTTTAGCAAAGACACAGACTCTGAGTTTCAATTCTCATCAATGCTCACATTTTTCATTACCTGCTTTTCCTTGAGCATTCTCAGTTATGGAATAGTTGCTCCTGCTGGTCTTTTTGTCCCTGTTATTGTGACTGGAGCTTCTTATGGACGTTTCGTTGGAATGGTTGTCGGCCGATACACAAACCTCAGTCATGGCTTCTTCGCCATCTTGGGTGCCGCTTCATTTCTCGGGGGGTCGATGAGGACAACAGTTTCTCTCTGTGTTATTATGCTTGAATTGACCAATAATTTGTTGTTGCTGCCTTTGGTAATGCTGGTTCTCCTTGTTTCCAAGACTGTAGCTGATGCTTTCAACAGTAATATATATAACTCGATCATGAAAGCAAAAGGATTTCCTTATCTAGAAGGCCATGTTGAGCCATACATGAGGCAGTTGACTGTCGCCGATGTGTTAACGAGTCCACTACAACTATTACATGGCATTGAGAAGGTTCGTAATGTGGTAAGTGTTCTCAAATGGACGAGCCATCACGGATTCCCTGTCATTGACGAGCCTCCTTTCTCTGAATTCCCTATTTTATATGGCCTAATTCTTAGAGCTCATCTTATTATGTTGTTAAAGAAGAAAGCTTTCTTTTCTGCTCCTGCACCAGCACAAGAACGCGATGATGCCTTTAAGCTATTCTCAGTTGACGATTTTGCAAAGATGGATTCGGGTGACGTTGCTAGGATAGAAGATGTACAATTGACTGATGAGGAGATGGAGATGTTCATTGATCTACATCCCTTCACCAACACTTCACCTTGTACCGTTCTAGAGACAATGTCATTAGCAAAGGCTCTTGAAATTTTTCGGGAAACTGGTTTAAGACATATGCTAGTGATACCTAAGATCCCCGGAGTGAGTAACTTTCTCAACCTGAAGTTTTCTATTCGCTCTTTTGAAAGTTCCGATTTTAAGAACGATTTTTGGCTCGTGAAGTTCATGTCAATGCTAACTTGTCTACCTCATTGCAGAGATCACCCGTGGTTGGCGTATTGACTCGGCACGACTTCATGCCAGATTACATTCTAAGTCTGCATCCATTGTTGGAGAAGAGCAGATGGAAAAGGTTGAGAATCAAATTCTGCCTGAAGAGAAAATTCTTCTAGCGCAGCAGAATCGGAAATAGCTCTAACTCAGGAAATGCTCTAACACAAGGATTGATGCTTGGCTCGAAAAAGCAAGTGATGAACAACCACTAGCTTAGAAACGATCAGAACATCTAATCATATGTTTGGAGCTAACCTGAACAGAGTTAATCAGGCATATATTCTCGATAAAAATATCCAAAGTTTGAATTTCCACCGTAGATATTCGAACTCAAAAAAATAAAATATTCTTTATTTTTGACATGAGATAAATAACTCCTTTTATCTCTACGCCGGCAGCGACTAAGAAAGTGAAGATGTGATATAGAATTTTGGCATGGGACTAAGAGATGTCCATTTTACTTGTAGGCGCCTAAATAGTGTGGGGAATACACACCACGTCCCATTTCTCCGTTCTGTCTCACTTTTTTACCTACCCAC